TATACATATTCCACAACTATCACAGGAATAGTTTTCTATTTTTAGAAGAAACTCGAAAGAGTATTAAATGTTCATCAACCCAAAATTAGCATTCCCATTTTTCCCCGAAATTTTCATGAGTGTCTGGTAAAAATTGTGCATACTATTTTTGCTGCATAATAATCGACTTTCGTTTTCGGCCCAAAAAGTGCCCTCAAAAGAATATTTAACTTTAGTCGTCAGCAATTTGAGTTGCAAATGATTCGTTTGGACTAACTCGAAACTAGTGACTGCAGTATGTGGGCGGCTCTGAGCAGATAGTGAATATCTGCAACAAAAAAAGAGAGTGGTGTTGGGGTCAGTTAAACCCTTTTTGCTATAGTTACGTATCACAAGCTGAGGCCATATATAATTAATAGAATGAAGCAAGGTGTAGGAACGAATAAAAACGCCTATTAATTATAGTTTTCTCAGCATACACGTTGGGTCGCAACAAAATCCCTGAAAATAATACACCACGGGGCATAAAAATGACTTCATTGCATATATATTTAATATATGTATATATGAACAGGGTATGTCTGTGTGTGTGTAGTTTTGTGCTTCCATTGAAATTAATTCAATGCGCTTAAATTTCACGTCTATTAGTCTCTCGAGTGCGACGCCACTTTCTAATTTCCATACCAAATATACAATTTTTTTTTTACATTGTTTCTGGTATGTTTTTGGCTGCCGCTGCTTTTCCTCCTGCTGCTGTTGCTGCTGCTGCTGCTGCTGTGTTTGTCGCGCCAGGCAATTAATTTTGAATTTTAATACCCCCAAAGTCACTGAGCGCAAACACACACACACACACACATACATATTTATATACATATATAAACACACAGCTGGCTAATTGTGGCACAGCAATGTGCAAGACATTTTATATGCTCGCTCATCGGTTGCTTAACAACGTATATATTACACTGCAAACAATCTGAGTTGCTTTTTGATATTTCTTATTAATTTTGAATTAAGAAACCCTGAATTTGTATTCTAGATGGATTTGACTTTGAATATTTTAATTTTCTTCTTTTTTTTGCTCAATGTTTAATATTTGTCAATTATAGGCTGCTTTGCATAGAAAATGTACTCAAGTAAAAGCTAAGCCAAACCACAAAGATGTATTCAATGAAGACATATTTTTCTAACTGTGTAACTGAGAGAAGTTAGAAATGGTAAGAACGGGCAGTTGAAATGAGAATGCGTTGCAAATCGAGACGACGACAACGACAACGACAATGATGACGTCGATGACCTTAGGTGAAAGTTTTTGTGACACAAAAACACACACACACTCATTAAAACAACATGAACTGGCAAACATACACCTTGCCACCGGAAGCGGAAACATCGCGAAAATGTCAAAGGCACAACGGCAGCAGCAGAGAAAAACCATTAGGGCAACAACAGTTACTGGGTCAAAGGCGAACAGCAGGTCAAAGGCAATAAGGACAAGTGACTGGCGGGCAACTGGCAGCCATTAGATACGCCAGCTCCTTCACGAGCTGTGTAAACACTGTTTAAAGTGTGACCCAATAAGACAAAACAATGCGCAAATTTAATCAACAATAAACGTAAAGCATGCAAAATAGACCAAAACAAACATAAACTTAAACAGAAGCTGAAACAGAAACAGAAACAGAAATAGAAACAACGAGCCAACGAGAAAGTTGTCTAGGGTGTCAGTTGAGGCCAGTTGTGGCAAGAGCTGAAGTGAAGTTCACGTAACAGCTCGAGACAATGAAAAGCCAGTAATTTATTGTGTGGCAGCGCTAATTGCAAAAATAAAACATGATTTATGGTCAGCACGATAAAAGTGGGCCGACTATGCGCCACCAGATGCCCAAAAACAACGCCAGATGCCAACTGGAGCTCAGGCTCAATAGGCACAGCAGGTCTTAGTGTGTATGTTAGAGTGTGTTAGTGTGTGAGTGTGTGAGTGTGTTAGTGTGTTAGTGTGTTGTGCGTTAGTGTGTTGTGTGTGGCAGGAATTAAGCTGTAACACATGATGTGCGAGCAGTGGCGTAAGTAACACTGTGAAACTTGGGGACTTCAGCTAACTTCTACAAGCACTTTATTATTAAAACATTTTATTATTGAAAATTAACTGGAATTTAGACACTTTGACTAATTTATTTATATAGTAAGCAAAACATAATGCTTTTTACAAGCCTACGCGACTCTGTTCGTGATTATATTAATCTAAGTTTTGTGTAGCAAGTCGACAATTTCAGCATCTCTTAGATTGCGCACATTTTATTTTTCCAGGAGCAGAATAAGCAAATACTTTCAACTTTTAGATATCCCATTTTCTATTGCTGCATCCTTTCAAGGATTGTCTTGTTTTTACTGCTTTTTTAGAAACAGAAAAACAGCATGCAAAAATTTCAAATACTTAGATTTAGTTTGCACTTCTTTACATATTCAGAATCACATTTCATTGACCCATATAAAACATGCCTGCATACGCCACTGTTCTAGTAGACAGTCAGGGAACTTCTTTGACTCTGCGATTAAATATAAGGCCAAACAAACAATGTTCAAAGTTCAGTTGATTCGTGTGCTAGAAGAAAAAATTTGGTTCGGCGGACAGACGCTGGCCAATTATGTCTAAATAATTGCTATGCGAGCGCCTTTTTAAATGTGTTGACACCCAAAAGCTGAATGATGATGATGATGATGATGAGAATGATAATGATCTTAATGATGATTGGGATAATGCTGATGTTGTTGCTGATGGTGATGAGTATGTTAAGCAGTCGAACCAATGGCTTGGAAGCGAATCAATCAGGCGCACACAAAGACCCATTGCAAACAAGTTGTTGTCCACTCATTTGAAGGGGAGCAGGGAGTTTGGATAATATTCGACGACGACGACGACTGCTTCTTCTTTTTCTAGTTGGTTTGACTACTAGTTTCATTACTTTCACTGCTTTAGCTGACACGACAACAGCAACGGCAACGGCAACGTCAACGTTGCTGAGCAAAAGCAAAGCTCATCATTATGGCTCATTAGCAAAGCTATTTTTGTGTGTTACTCGCATTTTTGCCATGTCTCCCTTTCTGTGGCAGATCCTGGTAACTGGCGAGTGTTGGTTATATTGAATGCTGCTAATTTGCACATAAGCCGCTTGGGGGCTCTCGTGCATAATGCCAAATCTCTTGCCAACAGACGACTACCGACTACTGTTCGTTTGGACCAACTAACTAAGCCCCTCTAAGCACCAGGCCAGGACCTAATCCAACTGCTTATTACATACTACATGTCTCTGCAGCCCACAAAAGTATGCCACCGCACACACATACACACACACACACACAAATATATAATATAGCTGGACAAAGCAGTCAAGCTAAACTCGCAATGGACTCAAATGGACTCGACGACTCATCTCATGCCATTGATTTTTAGGTAGAAGTTTTAGCCGCGGCAGCTTAGCCAGGACCAAAAAAATAATTAACCGCAAACGTTGTAACAAAACAAAGTACTTAGCTTGTGGTAGAGAGTGCTCGACTGGGACTTACTCTATGCAGAATTTTCAAAGATTTCATTGTGAATGTCTTTTATGTACTTATACACAAAAATCTAAAACGGTTGTGGAATATCTGATAACATGTACCCAAAAAACACATGACAAAAAGTACTCTTAGAAAAGTAGTTAAAATGCACTCAACAGTTATTCCCATCGAAGACCTGCTCATAACAGGTGATAAATACAAAAAAATATACACCATTCCTAATCTTTCATAAACAGGGGGTATACAGGATAAACAAAAAAAAAGTAGCCATCATCAGCAAAAAAACGCAGGGATAAATGAAAACAAGATGGGGGAGCAGTAAACATTGAGCATTGTCAGACAACTCTTTGAATGGGGTGCATGGAGCTGACTTTTCCATTCAAGGGGAACGGCTTAATGTGCCGGTGAGCGCACATGTGTCCATTATTTGATGCATTAAGAGCAGCAAACGTGGATATAAAGGGGCTATGGGGTTAAGGGTGTTGGCAGAGGGGTGGACCATAAGCATGCCATGGCCGGAGACATGCACAAGCAGAATGTTGCTGATAGTCTTTATTGTCTGGCTGTTAGAGAAACACAACTGCAACAACTGTTGCGACTTTTAATGTCAGCGAGAGCGGGTTGAACGGAGAGAGGGGTTACCTCCACATGTTGATGTTGGCAACCGCAGCAACAAATGTGCATAGAGGCAGCAACAGGAGCAACAGCAGCAAAAGCAACAGTATCCTGTTGCCAGTGCCTGACGCTGCTTATGTGTAATGGTTGCAGAAGAATAGCGTCATGGAGCGGCATGGAGCTAGGATGAATCCAGCGCAAAAATACCAAACGAGAGGAAAGTCATGAATGCAATCTACCTGCACATTTCCCCATAAAAGGCAAACAGCAACTCTCACAAATTCTACTTCGTGTTTGTTGCCCGCTGGCAAAGTAACAACAACAGCTGGTATTGCGCATTGCTGCAACGAAAAAATATATAAAAATAGCAACATTAAAAACAAAATACAAAAACAAAATAACAATGCCAGGCGTCATTTACATGGCTTATTGCAATGTTTTTATTTATTTCATTTGAAAGTGGCGCGTAAATCAAAAACATGTTAGGGGAATATCGCTAATACAATACAACTAGCGAACCTGGGCCAATAAGCTTATATTTTTTCAAAGATTTGTCGACTTGTTACTTAAATCACTTTTGTTTTTTTTGATAATCTATATATCGATGGTTTAAAAATGTATAAAAAATCATTTAGAATTTAATATTTGATTGAAATATTTATTTTAAATATAGCAGAATAAAAATCGTATAAAATTGAATATTACAAATATATATAATACTGAATAATGGTTTTTATCAGGATAGTTTTAGGTTTCTGTTATTGTGCTTGGCATAAACTATTCTTTATATTTAAGCGTTTCGGCATTAACTATTATTAACTTTATATTTTCTCTCTCACTTGCAGCATGGACTACACAACGTTGCTGTGCTGCGGTCTGGCTTTCGTATTATATTTGAACACCCTTAATGCGGGCTTTGTCTATGACGACAGGTAAGAAGACAAAGCGTGGCCAACTTTTACGCAATGCTTAAGCTTCCAGGCAAATTTATGTATTTAAGCTAGGACCAAAAACTAACACACAATCTTAAATGTCAAAAAAAAAGGAGAACAAAAATTAAATAAAGAAAAAATATTCGGAAATTTTGGGGCGAGCTTGTGGTGTGGCACGTGGCATGCTTCGTTGCAGCAATGGAATCTCTCAGTGGTACTTAAAATCGAATTTCGAGGCACTCACACACACACAGACACACAAGAACACACATAAAGCACATTCTGCTACACGTTGTCGCTGCGGCTGACTGGCTGACTGGCTGACAAGAAGACGACTCGCAGCGAATTTGTGTGGCATTAGAGTGGCATTTGTTTATGTGAACCGCAGCATCGGCAACGGCAAAGGCAACGGCAACGGCAATGGCAACGTTAACGACAACGGAAACATCGTTGCCAATACCCCCGAGCTCTGATGGTGTTGCTATTGCTGATGCTGGTTTTCTCTGCGTCTGTCACGAACACCTCGCCAAAATCCCTATATAGTCCAACATGGTGCGTGCAGGAAGCGTCCAGGTGAGGCTGCTATCCACCAAAGCCCACCCACAACGATGGCGGTCCAATATCGTCCTCGCTTCTCGCATTCCGATGACACAGTGACAGCATCGAGACACACCAAAGCCCACCCTTCGACCGGTCACAAAAAAATGGAGGATAAAATTGCCATAATATGCAACTAGCTGCATTCTTAAATGTCTACGCACAAAAGCCATTCAATTTGGGTAACACATATTTGTCAAGCAATTTTGTTTGCCGCAAGCTGAAATCGTGAACATTATCAATAGCCGACTCAAGTATCTTATTGACATGAATTACAAAGATGTGTTCTGGATCATTTTTTTTGTATGGTGAATAGAATTTTGGCTATGATTTATTTGTGGAATCCAGTCTTATCTTCTAAAATCAAGTTAATTTATTTACACATACCCTACAAAATATCATATTTGAATTCTCAATAGTAACGATTATTGAACTCTTTCATCTTTCGCTGATGGAATCCATCTAATATTTTACATATTCTCTTTGCACATTTCAATTTAATTATAGACGCGCCATATTGGGCAATGCGGACGTCTCTGGTGGATCGAGTTGGCAGCGCAGCTTTGGCAACGATTTTTGGGGCACGCCATTGACGGACAGTGGCACTCATGGCTCCTGGCGACCGCTTTGCGTGCTGAGCTTCCGGCTGAATTATGTGCTTGCCGGTGGCTTTGCGCCGTGGGGCTTTCATCTCGGCAACAATCTGTTGCATTGTGTGGCAACGGCGCTGGTGGTGCGTGTGGCGCGCACGCTGCTCGCCTCTTTCTGGGCGGTACTGGTAGCGGGTGCACTCTTCGCCGCCCATCCCATACACACCGAGGCAGTGGCGGGGGTGGTGGGCCGAGCCGACGTCGCTGCCTGTATCTGCTATCTGCTAACGTACCTCAGCTATCTGCGGCACATGCGCTGGCGCGAATCCGCCGATCCCCGCCAGTGGCTGGCCTTAGCCACTACGCTGCTCTTCGCGCTGGCCGCGCTGCTCTGCAAGGAGACGGCCATAACGGCACTGCTCGTCTGTGCAGCGTTCGATGTGATGCGAGCCCTCAGCGGACAGGTGGATAAGGTGAGACTGAATACATTTTTGGAATTTACAAAAATTAAAACAATCTCAGAAAATGATAGTCAAAATGTAGCGACGAATCAATATTTGTTGTATTCTAATCAAAATTGTTATTTGTTCGTTTCCTTTAGCAACGCCTGCGTTCGCTGTGCATTGTGCTTGGTGCCCTTGGCTGCAGTGCCTACTATCGCCTGGTCATCGTGCCCGGTCCACAGAGCGCCTTCTCCAGCGCTGACAATCCCATAGCACGCACTGCGTCCACGTGGACGCGATTGCTGACATTTCTGCACCTGCCCGTTGTCAATTTGAAGCTGCTGCTGCAGCCGCAAGTGCTCAGCTTCGATTGGGGCATGGATGCGCTGACGCGAGTCACAACGCTCTGGGATCGCCGCAATGCGCAGTCCGCCTGCTTTTACTCGGTATTGGTGGGCGTGGCATGGCGCAGCTGCAAGCTGCTGCTAAAGAGCAGTGAACACGAGAATAGCAACAATAATAATAATAATAATAATAATAATAATAATAGTAATAATAACAATAGCGCCAGCTATCAGCATTATCATATACAGAAGGTGGGCAGAAAGTCACGCGCTAAGCGCAAGCGACTCTCCAACAACAACAACAACAGCAAGTACCAAGCCTATGAGGTAGCCTATCAACAGGATGCACTGCCCTGCAGCGACTGCAACAATAACAACAGCAACGGCGCCTATGTTTATGGCGATGCAACAGCTGCTCCGCACCCGCCACATTCCTCACATCCCCTCGTCGTGTCTTCCGCTGTGAGCTTGGCCCTGCTGAAAGCTTTTCGGGGCTCGCGCAGCAGCAGCAGCTGCAGCAACAGCACAACGGCCAGCAACAAGAGTAGCGGCAGCAGCAGCAGCTCCAGTTCTAATTGCAGCTCCTTGGATGTTGGCAGTAGTTCTTCCTCCAGCGCCTCCACCTCCTGCTCGGAGTATATGTTGAGCGGTATGCCGGCGCCGGCACGCCGTGCCTGCATTCTGCTCATGTCCTGTGCATTTCTAACGCTGCCATTTCTGCCCGCGAGCAATCTGTTCTTCTATGTGGGTTTCGTCGTGGCCGAACGTCTGCTCTATCTGCCCAGCGTTGGCTTCTGTCTCCTGGTCGGCTATGGTGTCTCCAAGCTGCTCGCCTGCCGTCGCTGTCGCAGTTCGCGCCGGACTCGTTGTCTGCTGCTGCTAGGGTTCAGTGTGCTCCTGGCAGCGATGAGCTTGAGAACGGTGCGCAGGAATGCCGACTGGCGAGATGAGGAGAGCCTGTTCCGAAGTGCCATTATAGTCAATCCACCGAAAGGTGAGTGCTGTTGACAAACGCAATTTGCAATTGCTTTCTTTTTTATTTGGATACTTAATTCACACCCTTTGTTTCAGCACTGGGTAATTTGGGCAGTGTGCTGAGCTCACAGGCGCGCTACGAGGAGGCCAAACAGGTGCTGCAGGAGGCCATCCGGTATAGGCCCAACATGGCGGATGTGCACTTTAATTTGTGAGTATCTGTACCATCAGATATTGGCTAGTAGTTAACCATTTACTTTTGTCTACAACTTCAACTGTATCTATTATAATTTTGTTAAACTCAAAAATCTGTGGAAATGTTTTTAGGTAGTGGAGTTTTAAACATACTTTTAAATTTCATAAATATTGTGCTTCAGGTTCTTATAAATTTGATTAAATATGCTAAGGCTAAGTTAAAGTTAGTTAACCAACAATTCACAATCTAGCATTATCTATAAATAAATAATTGTAAATTGAAAATGGTTGCAAGTAAGAGTTAAATTGAAGGCATTTAAAGTAGCTGCAAGTAATTAAGGCAAGATTCCATTTAGCTTTTTAGTAAATTAAATGATGGGTTTCTATGGACATAAATTCAACAATATAATAATCAAGAGCTGTCTCTCACAATGCGTAAAACAGTTCTGTGCAACACTTCTACTCAACATTTCAATGACTAAGGTAGATAAATATTTGCAACTAGTTACATTCTACACCAAAGTTAAAAAACCTTAAGGGAGCTACTGTCCATGTACACACACACAATGCTCCAGTGCTCAGTTAAATGGCAGTCAGATGTCTCTTTATCTCTGTCTCTCTCTCTCTCTATGTATATATATATGTATATATCTGTCGCTCTGTCTTTTTCTTTTTACGTGAGCAATTTTCATTATGTGTGCCTATTTTGGTGTGGATGCAGCACTCGGCTGCGCATTTAGTGCGACCATTTTCATGGCTCAAGGCTGCTGCTGTCAAGCAGCTAGACGCTGTTAGAGTTTATAATGCAGCTGTAGTATACTCAGGACCAGCATCAGCATCAGCATCAGGATATGCCCGAGCTAGTACAATGCCAAACAAGCTGTCAAATGAAGCCCATTTTGCTGTATTCCTCGGGCTCTTCCAGAGTTGGGTGTGGATGGTGCTGGGTGTAAATTCTTTTTATACGCCTTTTGCAAAACTATGCGCATTTTGTGCCGCTCACTTTTTTTTTGCATTGCATACTCCTGGCCAACAACAAAAGTCCTTCGCGTTCACACTCCAGCCAGGAGATCTGTGCGTTTTTTGTTTTGTTTTCTTTTTTTTATATGCATCTCCACACCTCCCCTCCCCCAACACACTCTTCATATTCCAGCCATTCGTCTGTCAACGTCTGACAAGGTCTGTAAGCGTGCTGTTTTGTCTGTTGTCTGTTCGCATTGCATTTTCCCTCATTGCGCATATTTCTCAGCATCAGGCGAGACAGCATAACGGCCAAAAGAAGAGTCAACAGCAGCAACAGCAGCAACAGCAACAGCAACTATTATATGCCATATAACAACAGCAACTAGCAACAACAACAACAAGTGTTTTAGCTGCTTCAACTGGGAATAAACAAGTACAAAAAAGGCAGTATTTGCGCAAGCTAAACGACTGCATCATACTCTGTTAAAGTTAGCAAAAAGTATTTGGTACCAATTACCCAACTTACCTCTAGTTATGCTTCTTCTGTCAGATCAGTTTAAATACATGCTATATTCATTTTTACCCTTCAAAGTTTAAGTATTGCACTTACATCACCTCAAAGGAAGAGGTCACCAAAAAATGGATCCTTACGTTCCAATACTGTCCCCTTTTATGGTTAAAGAAGAGAAATATACATTTTTGTATATAATTCTTTTAAATATTGACAAAAAGTTCTGACTTCTTGGTTATTTGCATAGAAGAATGGCAATTAGAGAAATAAAAAAACACCCAAAACATAAAACACTTCCGACCCTACCAGATATACCCCTTTTTTGCCAAACTAGGGAATAGTTTGTGAAAAAGACAAAAGGCAGTACGCGAAGTTGTGCTTTGAATATTCAGTGCGTCATTTTTGCATATCTCTGCTTTTATTCGCCTTTTTTTTTGCGCGCTGCATTGTCAACTGGAACTGCAACTCCGACTCCAGCTCAGATTCCAGCAGCGAGTCCTTTCAACTGGGCCTCAGGGGATGTGGGGCGAGGCAATGCTGGGCCTTGACGCATGCCAGATTATTGCATGTGATTTTGGCGGCTAAGCAATATGAGTAGCAACAGCAAGCACCCCTGGAGAACGTGGGCATGCTGTTTAATGTCAAAGTACTCAAAAGTCAATGGTTCAAAACCAGGTCACATTGCTATGGCTGCTGTCATATATCCTCTAGCTGCAACTCCAGCTCTTGTGCTCCTCGGATCTACCGAACCGAGTATTAGCCGCTGGCAACGAAACCCTTCAATGTCCGAGCCCCAACCACAAAACTGAGAGCACAGGATGCAGTCGCCGCGTGACATGTTTGCTCTCCACACGCTAATCGAAAATCAATGTTGTCAGCTGCCTGTCCCACACCCTCATAGGATGCTGTTTCCTGTTCGCGCTCAAAGGCTAAGCAGCTGTTTGCACATACCATATTATTTACTGCGATCAAGCCATCAATAGCAAATGCCAGCGGCTTTTATTTCCCTTTGCTTGACTGATTACCGCCCACGTCGAACGGCTCCCGTAGCATCCAAAGATGGAATCATTCTCGGAAGTTGGGGGAACAGACAGACAAACAATTGTTGACGTTATACAAAGAAAAAACGAGCAACATTGATAAAATTCTGTTTGCTAGAGAAGATGGGGGATATATATATTTATATATATATATACGTAGATATATATATACATATATGTAAATACAGACTTCAGGCATCCTTAAGCCACGTTTTATGCAACCAAACACCAAACAGCGATACCTGAAATCACTGAGTTGCATAATTTGATTTCGTCTTCTTTTTATTATACACTTGCTGGATTTATTATAATATTGTCATGATGTGTGCAACGCATCGTAGCAGATAAATCTACTATATAAGCATATCTGTACATCGTAGGCAGTCTGACTGGATAATCATACCATATAGTTCTTTGGAGAAATGAATTGTTTTTTCTTTACATAGGTTCACAAATAATATTTTTCTTAGGCTTCAACAGTTTTGATATATTACACTTTAAAGATAAAGATATTAAATTTTATTTCAAATATCTGTTATGTATTTTCTAATTCTGAGGACATTTAATGATGTTTTATATGTCTAAATTCACACTTCTCGTCTAAGCTATTTGTAGTTTGATAAACTGCGTTGCTTGCTGACAGTCGACACCACTCTCATCTGCAGACATGTTGCATTTGGGATGTGATTGCATCAAAGATTCGCCGGCTTCTTCAATGCTTTTGCCTGCTTTAAGAGGCAATATAGTGCAGCTTTTTGCTGAGCAAACTAATTACATAAATCCGAGCAATCTTACTTTCGCCTTAGCCTTTTACATAGCTTGCCTTTCAGAGTGTTTGTGTTGGCGGCTGACTGTAAAGATGCTTGACAGGTTTCTAGGCGCCGTCAAGTGGTCAATGGTTGCCGCTGGTTGTAGGGGGCTCTAATTAGATCTCAAGTTGAGGCAGAAGTGTGCGACAAGTTCAGCAGCCGTCAATTATATAATGGCAGCACTTTCCCTTTCACTATCTCAACGCCACTCATTCTTCCTTTTATTCTCTTTGCAGGGGCATACTGTACCAGAATCAGCAGGACTTCAAGTCGGCCGTCGAGTGTTTTCAGCGCGCTATCAAATTTCGGCCAAGTTTGGCAGGTAAGTGACTTTATATTGCGTATATACTCTTTGTATATAATAAACATGCAAGGCTTTTCAGTACCCTTCATAGAAAACCTATATTTTCTTGAGTTTTCCAAATACTCTTTAGACTCTAAGAGCTCCAAGTACTCTATTCATATGGTCTAACAACTCCGATTGCTCTCTTTACATAGTGGCCTATCTCAATCTGGGCATATCATTCATTGCGCTGGGCAAGCGTCAGCAGGCTATTGAAATCCTTCAAGTTGGTGCGACGCTGGACGGTACAGCGGTACGCGATCGCAGTGCCCATGACCAGGCCAGAAGCTCAGCCTTTCTGCAGTTGGGTGCACTCTACGTGGAGCAGGGCAAATTGCAGCGAGCGCTTGCTGTCTACCGAGAAGCGTTGTCCTCGTTGCCAACACTCCTGCAGCAAAGAGAGGTGCTCTACCAGCGCATTGGTGATGTCTTTGGGCGACTACAGCAGTGGGACGAGGCAGAGCGTCATCATCGTGCCGCATTAGAACTGCAGCCCAACCAGGTGGCGGCGCACTTGAGCTACGGCATCACGCTGGCCAGAAATGTATGTATTCTGATGTGATTAGGTGTTGCCTCACGCTCACTGTTTTTCTTTTCATTTCTTATGCAGAGCAGTCGCGCTTCGGAGGCGGAAATGTGGTTCAAGCGCGCACTAAAACTGGCACCGGAACAGGCCAGCGTCTATCATCATTATGGTGAGTATCTTGGGTGAACTATATAGATCAATAACTAATAGTCGGCTGACTACGGCTCATTTGGTTAGATTGTTTCTGTTTATTTATTTTAAAAATGATGAGAAATGATATACCAATTTTTATGAACGGATGCCTTAAGAACTGTGCTTTTATTTCTGTTTCTAGCTGAATTCCTGGCCTTGCAGTCACGTCATCACGAGTCCGCTGTTTATCATCGACGCGCTGCGGAACTGGCGCCCACGGATTACGCTTTGGTTGTGGCAGCTGCAACCTCACTGAGATTGCTCGATCGCAAAGCAGAGGCGGAGCTGTGGTACCGCAAGGTGAGCCATCCTTATCTCACATCAATTTCTTTACACGTTTAATAAAAAATGAATTCGTTTATATTTGGCACAGGCTGTTGCTTTGCGACCGGATGACGCACATGCTCACACTAATCTGGGGGCCATATTGCATCTGCTGGGACGCACAAATCATGCGGCGGCTAGTTATAAGGATGCTCTCCGGCTGCAGCCAGGTGATGCCATAACGCTGGGCAATCTGGCGAAATTGGGCGTGACAAATGTTTAGCCACCAAGTGGATAACGTTAATTAACGTGAGGGAGATAGTGAGAGAGGGCGAGAGAGACAGAGACAGGGAGAAGGAAAGAGAGAGCAGTAGTTATTTTTATATATGTATGCGCAGGCCGGTTATAGCCGTTAGATAACTCTACAGAATTTATACGAAGGACTTCGATATCATTTAGCAGATGGCAGAGGCGACAAGAGGCAGGAGGCAGGAGGCAGCATGTAAATAAACCACAAAGCAGCGACCAAAGAAAGTCATAAAGCAGAAACACAAGTCAGAATTTATATGGCTCGATGGCAGAAGAAATGAAAATGAAAGTTAATGAAAAGGGAACGCAGCAGTAGAGAGACAGAGAGAACAATAATTAAACTACCTAAATGTTAAGGAATATCGAAAAAAAATACAAATAAACCGTAACCGTAACCGGAAACCGGATGCAGGTGCTGTACAGTGAACATAGTCGTAGCAAAACTATCAAAAATAGAATTGATGCAAAATATCGATAGCAAAATACTCACGATAAATGTTTGTATATCGATAACAACACTTCAAAATATCGATAACAAAATCAAACGACATTTTGGTAACTTAATGTGCTTAATATGAATGTAAATTAATGTAAATATAGAGAAAACAAAACAGAAAAAACAACCCTTATGAAAAAATATGACGATTATAATTATTGACCATATATAGATATATATATAGATAAGTGTATATGTATGACTGTATGTGGACTATGCCTAAACAATGTGGTGGCTTTCCGTTCGGGCCAAGCGGTTCGCGAGATCGTTTTTTCGGCGTTGTGTGTACATTTTAGTTAAGTGAATTAGCTACAGAAATATGATTGTAAAAACCCAAAAATGTAAGAAATACTTGAAAAGTGTATGGAAATGAAAAGAGAATACATATATAATTAAAGAAAACAACAAAAAATGAAAACTATTTGAAAAACATAAACCGAAATACTGTTGCATTTTCAATACTTGCCTCATTGTGCTCTAAGCTGCTTAGCTAACCGTTAAGCAGTAAACTTGGTACTATGATATTGCCCCCCCTCCCCAACACTGTACCCCTTCTGTTACGACAAGTGGCGCACATTGAACCCATAATTGTGACCACTTTGCCCAAAGCACCACTTGCCAGCCAACCATCCAGCCATGCAGTCGAAGCGAAGCCAACTATATGCACCCACGGGCGGAGGAAATATTTTCAGTGCTTAACGGCTTAAAATCTCCTTAAGTTCCCCCCGGCCGCAACCAAGTACAAACACAATCAGTGTCAAAATTTTCGACCGAAAGTCGAAAGCAATGGCGAAGACCAAGTCGAAGACCTGGCTGCACTCAGAGAAAAATACGTACGGCAACGTTAAAAAATTCTTGAAAATTTGATATATTGATATCGAACTTATTATTGATAATGTATTGGCCTAATTTTTAGAACGAGAAAACCTTCGAGTTTTCCTCACCATACTTTACGTTCAATAGCATTTTTTCTTTCAAGTGTACAGCCGTTTGAAAGTACATCTGACGTCGAAGGCGCCACTTAAGCCCAAGCAAACCACAACAAGAAATAAAGCGTTTGTGTCTTATGCCAACTAAATCGCTGGATTATGAATTACAATATACTTGACTGGCACGACGAAGACGACTGAGTCTGGTCCAGGACACTCCTCCCCTCTGCACTGCTCTGTCTTTCTCACCCACTGCAGTCATAATATTGCCACAGCTAATGCTGCAGGCGACTAAATGGCTGCTGGCTTGCCAAGCTGCAGGGCAGATGGAGAGCAGTTGGGGGGAGGGCGGTTAAATAGCGATGCTGCAGCACGATAAAGGTGATGACTTTTGACATGCAAAGGCAACAAACGCATCTGCAGGACCTTCGAGCCAAGCCCAATTGGTTTGCCAAGTCAAATGGCGGCTTGTTTGTTGGCTGGGTAGAAAACGTGCACAAGAGCAGTTCCATGGCATATAAATGAATGTGTCACTCAGTCAGTCAGTCAATCAGTCAGTCGGTGAGTCATTCCCCAGCCCATGCTCCGTTTGGCTAAGTGCAGCAATGTCCTGGTTTGGTTCGGTGACACATCATCTGCTTTGATGGCATCGCACTGCAAGCACTTTATTGCAGCAACTGAGGCAGCTGAAGCAGCATTGGCCACTAAATGCACTCGCTAGTTGCTCCTTCGTTCGAGTGCAGCTCACTAATTGCAGACGCCAGTCTGCCCCACGCAAAGACCCCAGCCAAACAGTGTTGCCACATCAGCTGTTTTTGCACCTCAATGCTGGCTAGAAATATGGAATTGTAGCTGTGTTTAATTTGCATTTCCTTTAATTTTTTGTTTGCTGAATTGACAATCTCTCTATTTTGTTATCAAGTTCCCAATCGGGAAACCGCAGGACGATGCAGACTCTGTCATAAGTAACGAGACATTTGAATGCATTCTGGGAGCATAAACAGACCGAGGCTCTTCCAGCAAAGTCAACGCTGGAAAAATGAGAACTGTGCGAGTAAGAAAAACCATTTCATAACATTAAATTAATAAATAGGTAAAGAATTGATAAGTACATCAAATAAAGTATTCCACAAATTACATATTCAAATGATGAATACTCAAATTTATCATCCAAGTTCAAAAACAAGAAACAAAAATCCAAAATTCGCACATTTCTGATACAAGTCAAATTAGCAAATCAGATATATATGTATATCGGATACTGGTGCATTTCTAGTATACATTTAGCTTTTTTTTTTAAGAAATCAGTTTATACCAAGTCTAGCTTCAATTACCTCTCACAAAGAGCTGTCAACACTGCACCGCTGAACTGTCGCTGTCTGGGTCCATTGATGCGCTGCTTTTCTTGCAAGTGACTCGTTAGCTTTGTGGAGCAAGGCTGAGAGACTGAGACGGCGAACTGAGACTGAGAGTCTCAGACGGAGACTGAGGTTTCTAGGACGTGGGTGGGGGCGAGTAGCGTTTCTGACGCTGACTGAGCGCGCTAATTACTGACAGCTTCAGCAGCTAGCTGGCGCGCGGATTTATGACAGCGTCAACGTCAACGTCGCTCCACTGGCCACTCAGCTGGCTAAAAAGGCGCTCAACCCACTAACAGTTGGGTGTTGCTGTTGTTGTTGTTGCTGTGGTTGTGAGTGGGCTCCCGAGCTAAGTACTTGAATGTCTGTAGAGACAAGCCAATGGTGAATTAGTCTTTGTTTTTAAGCAGCAGATGAGGAGAACCGTTCCAGTCAACTAGTCCCTAAATTCCGAGCTCCTCTCTGGCCTTGGTGCCGGCTGCCAAATGCAGACCTCAGTTGCAACTAATTCGAACTAATTATGGGGCCCTTGTTACTTTAACGAAACGACAGGCAAAAACAGCAAAGACAAAAAAAACGAAATGTTTGATGTATAAATATGAGCACACACAGCACACACAACATACACACACAGAGCGAGAGAGCAAGAGAGAGATAGAAGAAACGCTGGGTAGTTTTATGTTTTAATTGTGGCTTACGTTTGATTTGGCCAAAGGGCATACAGCCATGACAGGCATAAAAACAAAGGCAAACATGCTGGTACATGCCACACACATAATTACATACACACACACACACACACATATATATACAACAACACACACATACAAAAAGAAAGAGGAAGACCACTTTTATTTACAAGTGGGTGATGGCAAATCCAAAATCATTTGTTATTTGCACATTTGCCAAGTGTGTGGCAAGAGAAAAACTTTTACCGGACTCGCTCTTAAATCGCTTTTGATGAGGGTCACATCAAATGCTCCCGCCTGACCATTTCTGGCACAATGGGGCATTGCTCACATACAGTGAATGCTCCCTTGAGCGGTCTGCTCAGATCGGCTGCACTTGTTGTCGAAGCTATCCACTCAAGAAAGATGTCGCAGTAGGCTCAAAAGCAAACCCGGCAAGCATTAAAGCATATTCTCTGTTAACGAATAATGAAGCATGTATGTTTTTCATAATGGATAGCTGATTTTTACAGTCACCATAATCTAAATTGATTATTACTGCTGTTTAGTCATCCATGAGCGACACAACGTGCTTTTTTGTTCAAATTTGTCAAGATAAAGGAGATGTTTCTGTCAGCTAGTGGAGCTCTTACTGTGTATATATATTCACATATGTATACATATATATATATGTATATATAATCATAGGCAGAGACTTCAAGAGCCAATTAGTCGCCAGTGTTGTTGCAGTTGCAGTTGCATCCTTGCTGCTTACTGCACGCGGCACTTGTGTCAATGCCATTTTCGTAGTCCCACTTGACAAGTCGGGCAGGCAGCCCCAAACGTGACAGCGTCAACACTTTTGCATTCGCATAATAATCATATTGCGAATATAATGGCGTGAAAAAGCAACAACAACAACAAGAACAGCAACCTTAAAAAAAGGATGCCTGACAGTTGACAGTTACAGCTGAAGCTGAAGCTGAAGTTGGCGTTGTCAGCGGCAACGCTCGACGATCCACGTTCGCGTTATTATACCCTGCCAAAAAATGCGAAAAAATATGGGCATAAGAAAATTATGGCTAGGCATTGGCAACAAGGCTTAAATTGTCATATAAAAGCCTTTGTTAGTGAAATCAAGCTAGAAATACTCGGACGATTTTGGAAGCAAAAGATTGAAAACTTTTTATGAACATTTATAACTTGCTAAACAATTTAAGCTAACAAATATATTTATAAGTTGAAACTGCTGCTATTATAGTATATTCAGTTCGATATTTCAAGATATCTGGTGTTTTGTCATACTATAGATCTGCTACAATATGCACTCGATTGCCACACCAAAAAAATGTATATTAATATTTTAACCACATTTTTACAACCACAATCTACTTAAAAAAGATTTGTTTTTTGTGACGTAATGTGGGAAATTGAATCTATAAATAGACAGAAAGGTTTTGGTATCAATTAAGGGAATGTTTCTAAAATTTAAAATTCATATTGCCTTCTTTACAGAGTATGTATCTGGTCTTGTTTCCCCTACTGAAACCTTCTTATATATTCTTTTTCCTTGCTCATCTCATTGTGTAATTGCACAAAAATAAACTGGCTGCTGAATTTGTTGCCTCATGTTGTTATTGTTGTTGTTGTTGTTATTTTTGTTGCTCGTTGCAAGCTCGTGCGCCAAATTTCAGAATCTGTTGCATAATTTTCGGTCACATTACTTTTTGTGCCTTTCTGACTGTCGCTGGCGCGTGTTCAAGTGTTGACAACGCCAAAGCAAAGAGGACACACGCAGTGAGGCAAGAGAAAGCAAGAGAGAAAGAGAGAGAGGGAGAGAGAGAGAGAGTGGGACAGAGAAAGCACAGCGACAATTGCAATTGCAGCAGCAATTTATGCAACAGCACAAATACACAAGGAGAAAGAGGAAAACGATGCGAAAATGCGACTCGAGTCTTGATGTATTTTCAACACTTTCAGGCAACAGACAACAACAACAACAAGTAACAAACGACAACAAAGCAACTCGCTTAATAATATGCAAATTTCATGTGTTGTTGTGTAATTTTGACTATTACAAATCGCATAGTTATGTGTATAGTCGCTTTAATTAAAAAACAACTACTAGTTGTTGCACAAATAATTTTTCAATGCCAGTGGCCGCACAATTAAAAATCAAAATGT